CCGAACTCACCCCTCCGAACTCACACCTCACGGACTTCACACCTCACGGACCTCACACCTCACGAACTCACCCCTCCGAACTCACCCCTCCGACCTCACCCCTCCGACCTCACCCCTCCGACCTCACCCCTCCGACCTCACCCTCGGACATCACCCCTCGACCTCACCCATCGGACACTCACCCCTCGGAACTCACCCCTCGGACCTCACCCCTCGGACCTCACCCCTCGGACCTCACCCTCGGACCTCACCCTCGGACCTCACCCCTCGGACCTCACCCCTCGGAACTCACCCCTCGGAACTCACCCCTCGGAACTCACCCTCGGAACTCACCCCTCGGAACTCACCCCTCGGACCTCACCCATCGGACCTCACCCCTCCGACCTCACCCATCGGACCTCACCCATCGTACCTCACCCCTCGGAACTCACCCCTCGGAACTCACCCCTCCGACCTCACCCCTCCGACCTCACCCCTCCGACCTCACCCATCGGACCTCACCCCTCCGAACTCACACCTCACGGACCTCACACCTCACGGACCTCACACCTCGAGGACCTCACACCTCCCCCCTCCGACCTCACGGACCTCACCCCTCCGACCTCACCCCTCCGGCGCAAACCCTGACGATTCAACATGGCGTCCTATTCAAATCCGTGGCTTGTGCTCAGTGGCGCCCCCCCATGGACACTGACATTAGCTGTACTTGTCCGTATTTGGGCATTGTCTGATCCGCCTGGTTCTGCACAATGAACCTCAGACCGGACCTCGGACAGGACCTCGGACCCACAGTATTACATGCTCTGATTCTGAGGATAAAGAATCTCACGCCTCATTGGATACAACTGTGTCCTTAAAAGGTCTTTTAGAATTTCTGACAACTAAGACATGTCTGTCATAATGAACTGCACTGGACAGAGAGAGAGAGCAGAGAGAGAGAGCACAGAGAGACCAGAGAGAGAGACCAGAGAGAGAGACCAGAGAGAGAGACCAGAGAGAGAAAGATAGCACAGAGAGAGACCAGAGAGAGAGACCAGAGAGAGACCAGAGAGAGGAGCTGGTGTCTGACCTTAGATCCATCTGGTTTGTGGACCACGAACAGCTCGCTCCAGGCCAGGATCCCTGTGGTCTCGCGCTCGCAGCCTCCTCTCCACGAGAAGCCGGTCAGAGGGTCGTCTTCTCCACCGAGCCAGGAGTCGCAGCTGCCCTGGGGCACAACACCAGCACAAGAGTCACCGCTGCCCTGGGGCACAACACCAGCACAAGAGTCACAGCTGCCCTGAGGCACAACACCAGCACAAGAGTCACCGCTGCCCTGGGGCACAACACCAGCACAAGAGTCACAGCTGCCCTGGGGCACAACACCAGCACAAGAGTCACAGCTGCCCTGAGGCACAACACCAGCACAAGAGTCACAGCTGCCCTGAGGCACACCACCAGCACAAGAGTCTCAGCTGCCCTGGGGCACAACACCAGCACAAGAGTCACAGCTGCCCTGGGGCACAACACCAGCACAAGAGTCACAGCTGCCCTGGGGCACAACACCAGCACAAGAGTCCCAGCTGCCCTGGGGCACAACACCAGCACAAGAGTCACAGCTGCCCTGGGGCACAACACCAGCACAAGAGTCCCAGCTGCCCTGGGGCACAACACCAGCACAAGAGTCACAGCTGCCCTGGGCACAACACCAGCACAAGAGTCACAGCTGCCCTGGGCACAACACCAGCACAAGAGTCACAGCTGCCCTGAGGCACAACACCAGCACAAGAGTCACAGCTGCCCTGGGGCACAACACCAGCACAAGAGTCACAGCTGCCCTGGGGCACAACACCAGCACAAGAGTCACAGCTGCCCTGAGGCACAACACCAGCACAAGAGTCACAGCTGCCCTGGGGCACAACACCAGCACAAGAGTCACAGCTGCCCTGGGGCACAACACCAGCACAAGAGTCACAGCTGCCCTGAGGCACAACACCAGCACAAGAGTCACAGCTGCCCTGGGGCACAACACCAGCACAAGAGTCACAGCTGCCCTGGGGCACAACACCAGCACAAGAGTCACAGTACTGAAGGTCCAGACAGAGAGAGAGAGAGAGATGAGAGAGAGAGAGAGAGGTCGAGAGAGAGAGGTCGAGAGAGAGAGGTCGAGAGAGAGAGAGAGAGAGAGGTCGAGAGAGAGAGGTTGAGAGGTCGAGAGAGAGAGAGAGAGAGGGTCGAGAGAGAGAGGGCGAGAGAGAGAGGTCGAGAGAGAGAGAGAGAGAGGTCGAGAGAGAGAGGTTGAGAGGGTCGAGAGAGAGAGGTTCGAGAGAGAGAGAGAGAGAGAGGTCGAGAGAGAGAGATGGTTGAGAGGTCGAGAGAGAGAGGTCGAGAGAGAGAGAGAGAGAGAGGTCGAGAGAGAGAGGTTGAGAGGTCGAGAGAGAGAGGTCGAGAGAGAGAGGTCGAGAGAGAGAGAGAGAGAGAGAGGTCGAGAGAGAGAGGTTGAGAGGTCGAGAGAGAGAGGTCGAGAGAGAGAGAGAGAGAGAGAGGTCGAGAGAGAGAGGTTGAGAGGTCGAGAGAGAGAGAGAGAGAGACCAGTGAACCCAGAGTGAGACTAGAGAGAGAGAGACCAGAGTGAGACCAGAGAAGGTCAAAAGCAGAGAAAACAAATTTGCTAGTTGTAGTTTGTCAGAGAATGCGATGGTAAAATAATCTGTTCTGGTTCAATCCAAATATGAAGAAACTGATATTTGCTGTGCTCTGCTCCCGACGGGCGTCAGAGGCAAAGCACAAGACTGAAGTGACACTGGAATGGTATTTAAGTTATCATTTGGTAAATCATATGTGGCTAGATTGTCTGCTGAATGCTCACATGGCTGTATAAGTCTGGGGGAGCCCACATGAGCCCACATGGAGCCCACATGAGCCCACATGAGCCCACATGGAGCCCACATCATGGAGCCCACATCATGGAGCCCACATCATGGAGCCCACATGGAGCCCACATGGAGCCCACATGGAGCCCACATCATGGAGCCCACATGGAGCCCACATCATGGAGCCCACATGGAGCCCACATGGAGCCCACATCATGGAGCCCACATCATGGAGCCCACATGGAGCCCACATCATGGAGCCCACATCATGGAGCCCACATCATGGAGCCCACATCATGGAGCCCACATCATGGAGCCCACATCATGGAGCCCACATCATGGAGCCCACATCATGGAGCCCACATCATGGAGCCCACATCATGGAGCCCACATCATGGAGCCCACATGGAGCCCACATCATGGAGCCCACATCATGGAGCCCACATCATGGAGCCCACATGGAGCCCACATCATGGAGCCCACATCATGGAGCCCACATCATGGAGCCCACATCATGGAGCCCACATCATGGAGCCCACATCATGGAGCCCACATCATGGAGCCCACATCATGGAGCCCACATCATGGAGCCCACATCATGGAGCCCACATCATGGAGCCCACATCATGGAGCCCACATCATGGAGCCCACATCATGGAGCCCACATGGAGCCCACATCATGGAGCCCACATCATGGAGCCCACATCATGGAGCCCACATCATGGAGCCCACATCATGGAGCCCACATCATGGAGCCCACATCATGGAGCCCACATGGAGCCCACATCATGGAGCCCACATCATGGAGCCCACATCATGGAGCCCACATCATGGAGCCCACATCATGGAGCCCACATCATGGAGCCCACATCATGGAGCCCACATCATGGAGCCCACATCATGGAGCCCACATGGAGCCCACATCATGGAGCCCACATCATGGAGCCCACATCATGGAGCCCACATCATGGAGCCCACATCATGGAGCCCACATGGAGCCCACATGGAGGGGAGCCCGAGCGGGTTATCAGGATGCTAATGGGGAAGGTCTTGCCACATTGTCTCATCTCCTTCAATACTGCCTTAAAGTGCTGGACTCCACCGGCTGTGGAGCGAGCTTTGTCTTTCTTCCTTGTGTCTTTGTGGTTTTGATAGTTTGCCTCATCCATCACGACGTCCTCGATGCTTCCGTAGTGCATTTATCAAAGCCACGTGACTAAAGCCTAGAGTGTAGTCGCGCGGCGCTTACGGTGGTGATGTGATGTCACGTGCCCTTAACGTAGCCTGCCGCGCACCCGCCAACATTTCTAACTGTGAAGAGGAGAAAGTAGCAGCGTAAATGAGACCGCTTTGGTTTCTCAGGCAACTCCTGTGAGATCGCCATCATGTGGTTGGTTGAGGGATTACAACATTCTCTTCAAAACTCCTTAAGGGAAACGCGTGACTGTACCACTAACTGTGACTGTACCACTAACTGTGACTGTACCACTAACTGTGACTGTACCACTAACTGTGGCTACGTAGGTCCAACGCAACCGTAAGCAGCGCCGCGCAACTGTACACAGGCCTTTAGCAGTTGGTGGCTGGTCTCTCACTCTCACTCTGGTCTCTCACTCTCTCTGGTCTCTCTCTCTCTCTGGTCTCTCACTCTGGTCTCTCACTCTGGTCTCTCTCACTCTGGTCTCTCACTCTGGTCTCTCACTCTGGTCTCTCACTCTGGTCTCTCTCTCTGGTCTCTCTCTCTGGTCTCTCACTCTGGTCTCTCACTCTGGTCTCTCACTCTGGTCTCTCACTCTGGTCTCTCACTCTGGTCTCTCACTCTGGTCTCTCACTCTGGTCTCTCTCACTCTGGTCTCTCACTCTGGTCTGGTCTCTCACTCTGGTCTCTCACTCTGGTCTCTCTCTCTCTCTGGTCTCTCTCTCTCTGGTCTCTCACTCTCTCTCTGGTCTCTCACTCTCTCTGGTCTCTCACTCTGGTCTCTCACTCTGGTCTCTCACTCTCTCACTCTGGTCTCTCACTCTGGTCTCTCACTCTGGTCTCTCACTCTGGTCTCTCTCTCTGGTCTCTCTCTCTCTCTGGTCTCTCTCTCTCTGGTCTCTCGCTCTCTGGTCTCTCGCTCTCTGGTCTCTCGCTCTCTGGTCTCTCTCTCTCTGGTCTCTCTCTCTCTGGTCTCTCTCTCTCTGGTCTCTCTCTCTCTGGTCTCTCTCTCTCTGGTCTCTCTCTCTCTGGTCTCTCTCTCTCTGGTCTCTCTCTCTCTGGTCTCTCTCTGGTCTCTCTCTCTCTGGTCTCTCTCTCTCTGGTCTCTCTCTCTCTGGTCTCTCTCTCTGATAGAAGCATGTTGTAGGATTAAACCACAGTGAGTTTGAAAGTTACATCCCTGAGCTTTAGGGTTAGCACAGCGTTGTGTGTGACTCACGTGGACTGAGCTACGGCGAGAGCAGAGGGACAATCTGGGAAAGAGGATTTAAGCACAAAGAACTGTGTGTACTGCTCTTATCTGAGGATAAAGTCCACCAGAGAGACCAGGGAGAGACCAGGGAGAGACCAGAGAGACCAGGGAGAGACCAGAGAGAGACCAGAGAGAGACCAGAGAGAGACCAGAGAGAGTGAGACCAGAGAGAGACCAGAGAGAGACCAGAGAGAGACCAGAAAGAGACCAGAGAGAGACCAGAGAGAGACCAGAGAGAGAGACCAGAGAGAGTGAGACCAGAGAGAGACCAGAGAGAGACCAGAGAGAGAGAGACCAGATAGAGACCAGAGAGAGACCAGAGAGAGAGACCAGAGAGAGACCAGGGAGAGAGACCAGAGAGAGAGACTAGAGAGAGAAAGAGCAGAGAGCAAGCAAAGAGACCAGAACGAGAGAGACAAGAAATTGAGAGACCAGAAAGAGAGAGACCAGAAAAAGAGACAAGAAAAAGAGAGACAAGAAAAAGAGAGACAAGAAAAAGAGAGACAAGAAAAAGAGAGACAAGAAAAAGAGAGACAAGAAAAAGAGAGACAAGAAAGGTTAAATACATGTTCATAACATTCTTTTGAATGATCTGGCCAGCTTTCTAAATACATACCAGAGAGAGAGAGACCAGAGGTGTCACCTGGTCGTGGCTCTCACCTGGTCGTGGCTCTCACCTGGTCGTGGCTCTCACCTAGTCGTGGCTCTCACCTGGTCGTGGCTCTCACCTGGTCGTGGCTCTCACCTGGTCGTGGCTCTCACCTGGTCGTGGCTCTCACCTGGTCGTGGCTCTCACCTGGTCGTGGCTCTCACCTGGTCGTGGCTCTCACCTGGTCGTGGCTCTCACCTGGTCGTGGCTCTCACCTGGTTGTGGCTCTCACCTGGTCGTGGCTCTCACCTGGTCGTGGCTGTACATGTAGCGCAGCATGAAGTCCAGGAGGAAGGACTTGCCCTTGCGAAAGGCTCCGGCCACAGACACCACCACCACACTCAGGTCCTGCACCTCCTCCCGCAGCAGCAGCCTCTCCAGCGCCTCCTCCTGGAGACTGAACGAATGCTCCTCCTCATCTGCATCTACCAGCTGCACCGGACCAGCAGCAGGCACCATGGGGGACGGGGGAGGGGGAGGCACGTCTGCAGAGAGAGAGAGAGACCAGGCGGTGAGAACCGGAAGAGCAGAGAGAGAGATCAGAGAGAGAGCAGAGAGGGCAGAGAGAGAAGAGAGAGAACCAGAGAGAGACCAGAGAGAGACCAGAGAGAGAACCAGAGAGAGAGACCAGAGAGAGACCAGAGAGAGACCAGAGAGAGAGACCAGAGAGAGACCAGAGAGAGAACCAGAGAGAGAGACCAGAGAGAGACCAGAGAGAGACCAGAGAGAGAACCAGAGAGAGACCAGAGAGAGACCAGAGAGAGACCAGAGAGAGAACCAGAGAGAGACCAGAGAGAGACCAGAGAGAGAACCAGAGAGAGACCAGAGAGAGACCAGAGAGAGAACCAGAGAGAGACCAGAGAGAGACCAGAGAGAGACCAGGGAGAGAGACTAGAGAGAGACCAGAGAGAGACCAGGGAGAGAGACCAGAGAGAGACCAGAGAGAGATTCTATCTATTTCGACATAGTCCTAAATCACAATAGTGATCTCGGAGGACTTGACAAAGTTGTAGATTCGCCAACAGCAGACCAGAGAATCAGACCGTCCACAGAAGTGTTCCCATCAGAGACCTTCCGTCCGCTCCATCCAGTCCGCTGGGTCCAGTCCGCTGGGTCCTGTGCATTCACGGGTGTTAGCTCCGTGGTCCCCCCGGTTCGGAGCTCGGTCCGCGGGTTGGGGTTAGCTCTGGGTTCGGGGCGGGTACCCTCTGTGTTCCAGCTGCTGATGTACGTGTACGTGTACGTGTACGTGTAGAGGTGACGGGTGTCCTGGGCCAGTCTGGGTCTAAACAGCGCTAAAGCACATCCTCACCGTGTTTCAGGACGTTGTTTTGATGCACCCGTCGCTTCAGCCCGCTCTCCTCCGCCGCCATCTTGGTCCTACTGCCAGGGGCGCCAGGTCCGCAGACAGCAACACGCCGCCATCTTGGTCCTACTGCCAGGGGCGCCAGGTCCGCAGACAGCAACACGCCGCCATCTTGGTCCTACTGCCACCAGGGGCGCCAGGTCCGCAGACAGCAACACGCGGAGAGGAAAGAGATTTGTTTATTATTGTTTGAAATTCATTCAAAGTGCAGGAAAACACGTGGGAATATAGTGTGTGTGTGTGCGTGTGTGTGTGTGTGTGTGTCTGTGTGTGTGTGTGTGTGTGTCTGTGTGTGTGTGTGTCCGTGTGTGTGTGTGTGTGTGTGTGTCTGTGTGCGTGTGTGTGTGTGTGTCTGTGTGTGTGTGTGTGTCTGTGTGTGTGTGTGTGTGTGTCTGTGTGTGTCTGTGTGTCTGTGTGTGTGTGTGTGTGTGTATACGTCTTTCATGGGCACAGTTTTTTGTGCAGAAATTAAAACTTTGCAAAAAAATCAGTTTTTTTTGTGAGAATCAGAAAGTCACAGAAAACAGTTACGACGCATTTAATGATATAGACTTTTGTCTTTTATTCTTTTATTGATGTGTTTCCTACATGCCCCAAAATACCAAGGAATAAACAGATTACTTCTACACATAAGTACACATAAGTACAGTAAGTACACAGTAAGTACACAGTAAGTACACAGTAAGTACAGTAAGTACACAGTAAGTACACAGTAAGTACACAGTAAGTACAGTAAGTACACAGTAAGTACAGTAAGTACACAGTAAGTACACAGTAAGTACACAGTAAGTACAGTAAGTACACAGTAAGTACACAGTAAGTACAGTAAGTACACAGTAAGTACAGTAAGTACACAGTAAGTACAGTAAGTACACAGTAAGTACACATAAGTACACAGTAAGTACACATAAGTACACAGTAAGTAAACAGTCGTCTTCTTTAAGATTTGTCTTTATCATGAATGACAGAGTCCAGGACACTTTCTATACAGAGACCTGCCTCAGGCTGTTTCATGTTTCTCTTTATGATTTGTTTATGATGAATGTGTTATTGTGTCTTATTTAGTGAACAGCTGATGTTAGATATAATGTAGGACTCAGCAGGAGGAGCCATCTGCAGCTTCACACAGCGCCTCAGCTCGTGCAGTCACCCTCCTCCTCCTCACACATGGTTTTATCACTGTGAAGTTTTGGGGCTTCTTCAAACAAGAACTAGTTACAAACTATAAACTCACATGGTTTCTCCTTTTGAAGTTAGGTACATCTGATCATGAGCAACATAACTCTGGTTACATCTGCTTTGTTCTCTCAGGGGGGAGGAGGAGGTGAGGGGGAGAGGAGGTGAGGAAGAGAGGAGGTGAGGAGGGGTAGAGGGTGAGGAGGTGAGAAGGAGGTGAGTCTACAGTCTCTGAACAGCGGTGAGGACCAGAGGAGCAGAGTTGGTTCCTCTGTCGTTGAGGCAGGGGCTGAGGACTGGGAGGAGCCTCCCTCTGAAGCAGCAGTTGGTGAAGGAGTAGAGGAGGTCTGAGGAGTCAGCGTCGTAGAAGGAGACCAGGCCCTGACCATAGACCAGGCCGTAGTCCACAAACACGGCCACCGTCTGAGGAGGCGCCTGCAGGAGCAGAGGAGTGCTGGGACTGCTCAGAGCTGCGTACTCGCTGCCGTTCCTCAGCCACATGGTCCACTGTCCGTGTTTGGGGCTCGCACTGATCTTCTCCTTCCTGTTGATGGTCTCCAGGGCCACGCCCACATCCCAGTCCGTCTTCCCTTTGACCTGGACCTCGAAGTAGAACTGTCCACTGGAGAAACTCTGCTTGGTCATGACGTTCACAAAGTGTTGGAAGCGAAGAGGACTCTCTCTGGCTTTGGTCTTCACTGCGCTGTAGTGGACCTGCTTCTGGTCTTTGGACAGGACCAGCTGAGGATGTGCTGTGTCCGGGTCCAGACTGAGGTCCACTGAGAACCTCCTGAGTCTCCTGAAGTCCTCTGCTCTGGACTCTGAGGCCAGACGGGAGAAGTGATCAGAGAGAGAGTCCTGCAGCTCGCTCAGGGCGCGGCCCACACTGCCCTCACAGCTCTGGGCCTCGAAGCTCTCTCTGCAGCTCTGTCTGCAGCTCTCAGCAGGAGGTCTGAGGTCAGGGCACCTCTGCAGAAACACCAGCGGGTCTTCAGCCCGAGTGAACCTCTGGGCCTCAGCGCTCCTCTGCTGCAGCACACAGATCTCCTGCTGCAGATTCTCGATGACGGCCTCAGCCTGAGTCTGGTTTCTCTCCTGGACCAGTTGGATGGAGGCCATGTGGCGGTCCAGACACTTCTGAGCCGTGTTCACGACAGCAGAGAAGGACTGGACCATGAGGGAGCTTTCTCTGAGGGCCTCTCTCTGGCTGAGCTCCAGGCTGCTCCTGGTCTGCTGGACCTGCTGCCTCTTCTGCTGCAGCAGCTCCTGGCTCTGGGCCTGGGCCTGCAGCACCGAGGACCTCCTGCGCTCGCAGCCCTCCTCCAGAGACACTAACTTATGGTTCTTGTGCTCCAGAAGAACACACATGGTGCAGACGCAGCTCTGGTCGGTGCCACAGAAGAGCTCTAGGGGGCGCTGGTGTTTGGCACACACCCTGTCCTCCAGGTTCTCCACAGGCTCCATCAGCGGGTGCCTCTTCAGCCCAGGGAGGGTGAGATGGGGCTGGAGGTGGCTCTCACAGAAGGACGACAGACACAGCAGGCAGGACTTCAGGGCCTCCTGCTGCGGCTCTGGACACATGTCGCACAGGACCACAGGTTGGGACTCCTGCTGCGGCTCCGGACACATGTCGCACAGGACCACAGGTTGGGACTCCGGCTGCAGCACGGACACCATCTCTGAGATGAAGGTGTTGGTTTTCAGCTGGGGTCTGCTGCTGAAGACTTCTTTACACAGGGGACAGGAGCAGGGATCATGAGTGTCCCAGGCCTGGCTGAGGCAGCGCTTACAGAAGTTATGTCCACACGGAGTGGACACTGGATCAGAGAAGACCTCCAGACACACGGGGCACAGGAAGGAGTCCGAGACCGAGGACATGTCCCACCTGCAGAGACAACAACTGTGAAGGATACAGCAGGGGGACAGGTCTCTCTCAGGTCTCTCTCTCTCTCACTGGTCTCTCTCTGGTCTCTCTCTGGTCTCTCTCTGGTCTCTCTCTCTCACTGGTCTCTCTCTGGTCTCTCTCTGGTCTCTCTCTGGTCTCTCTCTGGTCTCTCTCTGGTCTCTCTCTGGTCTCTCTCTGGTCTCTCTCTCTGGTCTCTCTCTGGTCTCTCTCTGGTCTCTCTCTGGTCTCTCTCTATAGTCTCTCTCTGGTCTCTCTCTGGTCTCTCTCTGGTCTCTCTCTGGTCTCTCTCTCTCGCAGGAAGTGTTGTTACTGTCAGGAATCTTGTCATTCTGGATTCCGTCACAAACTCTTTACGGTAAAAATATGTTGATCTATATCTGTTTACACTGATCGTGAGACCAGAGAGAGACCAGAGAGAGACCAGAGAGAGACCAGAGAGAGAGACCAGAGAGAGACCAGAGAGAGACCAGAGAGAGACCAGAGAGAGACCAGAGAGACCAGAGAGAGACCAGAGAGAAGCCAGAGAGAGACCAGAGAGAGACCAGAGAGAGACCAGAGAGAGAGACTGACAACAGGACAAAATACATTTTAAGTTTATGTTTCAAGGCAGATTCAGTAACACTTTGAACTGTTCTCTTTCTTATTACTGAGTGAGACACAACAGTCGGGTTAAGACAGATCTCCACAAAGCAAAAGCACCATATTATTATTTTAGATTTACTGACAACAAGTTACTGAGAACTGAGTCAACCCATTTCGCTCAAAAAAGAGATGTGGCCGCTAGAAAGTAGTGACCCTGTGTAGTGGCAGTGAGCCTGTGTAGTGGGCAGTGAGCCTGTGTAGTGGGCAGTGACCCTGTGTAGTGGGCAGTGACCCTGTGTAGTGGGCAGTGACCCTGTGTAGTGGCAGTGAGCCTGTGTAGTGGGCAGTGAGCCTGTGTAGTGGGCAGTGACCCTGTGTAGTGGGCAGTGACCCTGTGTAGTGGGCAGTGACCCTGTGTAGTGGGCAGTGACCCTGTGTAGTGGGCAGTGACCCTGTGTAGTGGGCAGTGACCCTGTAGTGGGCAGTGACCCTGTGTAGTGGGCAGTGACCCTGTGTAGTGGGCAGTGACCCTGTGTAGTGGGCAGTGACCCTGTGTAGTTGGCAGTGACCCTGTATAGTGGGCAGTGACCCTGTGTAGTGGGCAGTGACCCTGTGTAGTGGGCAGTGACCCTGTGTAGTGGCAGTGACCCTGTAGTGGGCAGTGACCCTGTGTAGTGGCAGTGACCCTGTGTAGTGGGCAGTGACCTTGTGTAGTGGGCAGTGAGCCTGTGTAGTGGCAGTGAGCCTGTGTAGTGGGCAGTGAGCCTGTAGTGGGCAGTGACCCTGTGTAGTGGCAGTGACCCTGTGTAGTGGGCAGTGAGCCTGTAGTGGGCAGTGAGCCTGTGTAGTGGGCAGTGACCCTGTGTAGTGGCAGTGACCCTGTAGTGGGCAGTGACCCTGTGTAGTGGGCAGTGACCCTGTGTAGTGGGCAGTGAGCCTGTGTAGTGGGCAGTGACCCTGTGTAGTGGGCAGTGACCCTGTGTAGTTGGCAGTGACCCTGTATAGTGGGCAGTGACCCTGTGTAGTGGGCAGTGACCCTGTGTAGTGGGCAGTGACCCTGTGTAGTGGCAGTGACCCTGTAGTGGGCAGTGACCCTGTGTAGTGGCAGTGACCCTGTGTAGTGGGCAGTGACCCTGTGTAGTGGGCAGTGACCCTGTGTAGTGGGCAGTGACCCTGTGTAGTGGGCAGTGACCCTGTGTAGTGGGCAGTGACCCTGTAGTGGGCAGTGTAGTGGCAGTGACCCTGTAGTGGGCAGTGACCCTGTGTAGTGGGCAGTGACCCTGTGTAGTGGGCAGTGACCCTGTGTAGTGGGCAGTGACCCTGTGTAGTGGCAGTGACCCTGTAGTGGGCAGTGACCCTGTGTAGTGGCAGTGACCCTGTGTAGCGGGCAGTGACCTTGTGTAGTGGGCAGTGAGCCTGTGTAGTGGCAGTGACCCTGTAGTGGGCAGTGACCCTGTGTAGTGGCAGTGACCCTGTGTAGTGGGCAGTGAGCCTGTAGTGGGCAGTGAGCCTGTGTAGTGGGCAGTGACCCTGTGTAGTGGGCAGTGACCCTGTGTAGTGGGCAGTGAGCCTGTGTAGTGGGCAGTGACCCTGTGTAGTGGGCAGTGACCCTGTGTAGTGGGCAGTGACCCTGTGTAGTGGGCAGTGACCCTGTGTAGTGGGCAGTGAGCCTGTAGTGGGCAGTGAGCCTGTGTAGTGGGCAGTGACCCTGTGTAGTGGGCAGTGACCTTGTGTAGTGGGCAGTGAGCCTGTGTAGTGGCAGTGACCCTGTAGTGGGCAGTGACCCTGTGTAGTGGCAGTGACCCTGTGTAGTGGGCAGTGACCCTGTGTAGTGGGCAGTGAGCCTGTGTAGTGGCAGTGACCCTGTAGTGGGCAGTGACCCTGTGTAGTGGCAGTGACCCTGTGTAGTGGGCAGTGAGCCTGTAGTGGGCAGTGACCCTGTAGTGGGCAGTGACCCTGTGTAGTGGCAGTGACCCTGTGTAGTGGGCAGTGAGCCTGTAGTGGGCAGTGACCCTGTAGTGGGTAGTGACCCTGTGTAGTGGGCAGTGAGCCTGTGTAGTGGGCAGTGACCCTGTGTAGTGGGCAGTGACCCTGTAGTGGGCAGTGACCCTGTAGTGGGCAGTGACCCTGTAGTGGGCAGTGACCCTATAAAAAGCCAGGGTGTAAAGTGTTGGAGACCAACAGACCCCTCTGCTCTATATCAGCTGCTTTTGTAAGTGAGACTTTAGATGTTCTTATCTTTCTATACTCAGATTCAGATTCATTTATTTGCCATTTGCAGTAAAACCACATTGGAAAAACTGTGCAAGACTACCCCGGTGTGCACCACACACACCAGAGCTCTTGCCACGGCGCCATCTTTATGGCGCCATGCGTGGAGCTACTGTGTGATGCATTACAGATGTGGGATCCCTTTGGAGGAGGTGCCTCTCCTTCTTTGGAGGAGGTGCCTCTCCCCCTTTGGAGGAGGTGCCGCTCCTTCTTTGGAGGAGGTGCCTTGTGCCTCTCCCCCTTTGGAGGAGGTGCCGCTCCTTCTTTGGAGGAGGTGCCTCTCCCCCTTTGGAGGAGGTGCCTCTCCCCCTTTGGAGGAGGTGCCTCTCCTTCTTTGGAGAAATAACTTCTGTTCCAAGCAGTAACACTCAGACTTGAACAATAAGCTATGAGTTGACTGCACTACGCCCCCTAGTGGTGACTAAATATTTCTCTATATTTTTCAAAAATCTTTTGTTTGTATTTATACTGAACAAGTTAATGTTTGGACATTGCTTCATCTCCGTCTCTAACTGGTTCCACAGTTGTACGCCATTAACTGTCAGGTTAAAACTTTTCAAAGTGGTCCTATATGTTTCTGAGATTTAAAGCTTAGTTCCCTCGTAATCCATAACATCCAGTCTGCTCTAGAAACTTTGTGTTTGCTTTGGGAACAGTTTTTACCTTGCTTTAACATCTGCACTGACTGGAACTTAAAAATGTCACAAAACTTCATTATTTTCTATTGTAAAAATAAGGAGTTTGTGTGGTCCAAAAACCCGGCTCTATGAATTAATCTCACAGCTCTTTTTGCAACATTACCAACGGTTTCAAAGTATTTTTATAGGTACTACCCCATACTACAGTGCAGTCATTTAAATACTTAGGAATACTTAGGAAGTTACTTACCCCAGCTTTAACTCCAGCCAGTCGAGCCCACTCTGATGCAGTCGAGTTCACTCTGATGCAGTCGAGCCCACCCTGACGCAGTCGAGCCCACCCTGACGCAGTCGAGTTCACCCTGATGCAGTCGAGCCCACCCTGACGCAGTCGAGCCCACCCTGACGCAGTCGAGCCCACCCTGATGCAGTCGAGCCCACCCTGATGCAGTCGAGCCCACCCTGACGCAGTCGAGCCCACCCTGACGCAGTCGAGCCCACCCTGATGCAGTCGAGCCCACCCTGATGCAGTCGAGCCCACCCTGATGCAGTCGAGCCCACCCTGACGCAGTCGAGCCCACCCTGATGCAGTTGTTCACTCCTGCTGCTCTGGTCTCGTCTGAAAGCTTCTTCCTCTTCTTCAGCAGAGACAGATCTCGTTGATCCAGTTCTGAGCGAGATTCCAGGTTAAAGACGGAGAACTCTGAGAAACAAGTCAGACAGAAACTCAAGGAAATCACCCATAATTAAAAACTACTGTAGCCACAGCTGCCCTGGGGCATACTGACAGACCCGAAGCAACCCCTCCCACCTCCATCAACCATTCACACACACACCAGACTCATTCTAATGTGGGGGAAGTGTCTTGCCTAAGGACACAACCACAGTTTGGCACTTTACAGCCGCAGCCCAGAGGTCTCCCATCACAGCACTAACCAGGCCCAGGATACATATTAAATAAACAACGGATCTACCCTTTACAATACTCTACTCTACTCCACCCTACTCTCTACTCTTAATAAAGTAGAGTAGAGTAGAGTAGTCCTTGCAGCTGAGGAGAGTTGGATACTTCCTGATCTCCAGAGGAACAAACAAAACAAAAAACAGCACAAAACAGAAGAAAAAACTGATTATTATCAATACGTTTTATTATGACGTCATTCTTTTCCCACAGTGAAGTTTGTGCTGTCCACTAGGGGGCAGGATTACACCAGCTGAGCACCTGAAGCATCCGAATCATACACACCTCTCCTTTAAACTCCTTCATACGACATTGTATTAACTTAGATAGCATTACATCTCACTGCAGTGGTATTAAACATGTTAGAGAGCTCCTACATCTCACTAGAACACACCTGGGGAGACACCAACTCAAAAGAAACATCAAAGTTCAAGGGAGGAGGTGGAATCGGATGCAGCCCGTGGAGATGCTAACAGAAGCTAACAGAAGCTAAAAGAAGCTAACATGAAACTGCACAGCTAACAGTTGTAGAAACTAAAGCCTTAAAACCTCCAGAGAGGGCCCCAGAGACACATGGAGGCGGTGAAGAGGAGGAAGAGGAGCAGAGAGAGGTGAAGGAGGAGCAGAGAGAGGTGAAGGAGGAGCAGAGAGAGGTGAAGGAGGAGCAGAGAGAGGTGAAGGAGGAGCAGAGAGAGGTGAAGGACTGACGGCCCAGAGTCAGCTCGGTACCGTTACTCGTTACTCGTTACTATTGTGATTTCGGTCTGTGGTTCAATACTACTGTGGTTCTGCACCAGAGAGAGAACGAGCATCTGTAGTACTGTAGTATCACTGTAGTAGTACTGTAGTATCACAGAAGTAGTAGTGTAGTATCACTGTAGTAGTAATGTAGTATCACAGTAGTAGTACTGTAGTATCACAGTAGTAGTACTGTAGTATCACAGCAGTAGTACTGTAGTATCACAGTAGTAGTACTGTAGTATCACTGTAGTAGTAATGTATTATCACAGTAGTAGTACTGTAGTATCACTGTAGTACTGTAGTATCACAGTGGTAGTACTGTAGTATCACAGTATAAGTACTATAGTATCACTGTAGTAGTACTGTAGTTAGTATCACTGTAGTACTGTAGTATCACTGTAGTAGTACTGTAGTATCACAGTAGTAGTACTGTAGTATCATTGTAGTAGTACTGTAGTATCACTGTAGTAGTACTGTAATATCACAGTAGTAGTACTGTAGTAACTGTAGTACTGTAGTATCACTGTAGTAGTACTGTAGTATCACAGTAGTACTGTAGTATCACAGTAGTAGTACTGTAGTATCACAGTAGTAATACTGTAGTAACTGTAGTACTGTAGTATCACTGTAGTAGTACTGTAGTATCACAGTAGTAGTAGTGTAGTATCACTGTAGTAGTACTGTAGTATCACAGTAGTAGTACTGTAGTATCACAGTAGTAGTACTGTAGTATCACTGTAGTACTGTAGTATCACAGTAGTAGTACTGTAGTATCACAGTAGTAGTACTGTAGTATCACTGTAGTAGTACTGTAGTATCACTGTAGTACTGTAGTATCACAGTAGTAGTACTGTAGTATCACAGTAGTAGTACTGTAGTATCACTGTAGTAGTACTGTAGTATCACTGTAGTAGTACTGTAGTATCACTGTAGTATCACTGTAGTAGTAATTTAGTATCACAGTAGTAGTACTGTAGTATCACTGTAGTAGTACTGTAGTATCACATTAGTAGTACTGTAGTATCACTGTAGTAGTACTGTAGTATCACTGTAGTAGTACTGTATTATCACAGTAGTAGTACTGTAGTATCACTGTAGTACTGTAGTATCACAGTATAAGTACTGTAGTATCACTATAGTAGTACTGTAGTTAGTATCACTGTAGTAGTACTGTAGTATCACTGTAGTAGTACTGTAGTATCACTGTAGTAGTACTGTAGTATCACATTAGTAGTACTGTAGTATCACTGTAGTAGTACTGTAGTATCACTGTAGTAGTACTGTAGTATCACTGTAGTAGTACTGTAGTATCACTGTAGTAGTACTGTAGTATCACTGTAGTAGTACTGTAGTATCACTGTAGTAGTACTGTAGTATCACTGTAGTACTGTAGTATCACAGTAGTAGTACTGTAGTATCACTGTAGTACTGTAGTATCACAGTAGTAGTACTGTAGTATCACTGTAGTAGTACTGTAGTATCACTGTAGTAGTACTGTAGTATCACAGTAGTAGTACTGTAGTATCACTGTAGTAGTACTGTAGTAGTACTGTAGTATCACAGTAGTAGTACTGTAGTATCACTGTAGTAGTACTGTAGTATCACAGTAGTAGTACTGTAGTATCACTGTAGTAGTACTGTAGAATCACAGTAGTAGTACTGTAGTATCACTGTAGTAGTACTGTAGTATCACTGTAGTAGTACTGTAGTAGTACTGTAGTATCACTGTAGTATCACAGTAGTAGTACTGTAGTATCACTGTAGTATCACTGTAGTATCACTGTAGTAGTACTATAGTATCACTGTAGTAGTACTGTAGTATCACTGTAGTAGTTCTGTAGTATCACTGTAGTACTGTAGTATCACTGTAGTAGTCCTGTAGTATCACTGTAGTAGTTCTGTAGTATCACTGTAGTTGTACTGTAGTATCACTGTAGTAGTACTGTAGTATCACAGTAGTAGTACTGTAGTATCACTATAGTAGTACTGTAGTATCACTATAGTAGTACTGTAGTATCACAGTAGAAGTACTGTAGTAGTACTGTAGTAGTACTGCAGTAGTACTGTAGTATCACAGTAGGAGTACTGTAGTATCACTGTAGTAGTACTGTATTATCACTGTAGTCGTACTGTAGTATCACTGTAGTAGTACTGTATTATCACTGTAGTCGTACTGTAGTATCACTGTAGTAGTACTGTATTATCACTGTAGTCGTACTGTAGTATCACAGTAGTAGTACTGTAGTATCACTGTAGTAGTACTGTAGTATCACAGTAGTAGTACTGTAGTAGCACAGTAGTAGTACTGTAGTATCACAGTAGTAGTACTGTAGTATCACTGTAGTAGTACTGTAGTATCACTGTAGGCGTACTGTAGTATCACAGTTGTAGTACTGTATTATCAGTGTAGTAGTACTGTAGTATCACTGTAGTAGTACTGTAGTATCACTGTAGTACTGTAGTATCACAGTAGTAGTACTGTAGTATCACAGTAGTAGTACTGTAGTATCACTGTAGTAGTACTGTATTATCACAGTATTAGAACTGTAGTATCACTGTAGTAGTACTGTAGTATCACTGTAGTAGTACTGTAGTATCACTGTAGTAGTACTGTAGTATCACTATTATAGTACTGTAGTATCACTGTAGTAGTACTGTAGTAACTGTAGTACTGTAGTATTACAGTAGTAGTACTGTAGTATCACTGTAGTAGTACTGTAGTAACTGTAGTACTGTAGTATCACAGTAGTAGTACTGTAGTATCACTGTAGTAGTAGTGTAGTATCACAGCAGTAGTACTGTAGTATCACTGTAGTAGTACTGTAGTATCACAGTAGTAGTACTGTAGTATCACAGTAGTAGTATTGTAGTAGTACTGTAGTAACTGTAGTAGTACTGTAGTATCACTGTAGTAGTACTGTAGTATCACTGTAGTAGTACTGTAGTAGTACTGTAGTATCACTGTAGTATCACTGTAGTAGTACTGTAGTATCACTGTTGTAGTACTGTAGTAACTGTAGTAGTACTGTAGTATCACTGTAGTAGTACTGTAGTAAAACTGTAGTATCACAGTAGTAGTACTGTAGTATCACAGTAGTAGTCCTGTAGTATCACTGTAGTAGTACTGTAGTATCACTGTTGTAGTCCTGTAGTATCACAGTAGTAGTACTGTAGTATCACTGTAGTAGTACTGTAGTAACTGTAGTAGTACTGTAGTATCACTGTAGTATCACAGTAGTAGTCCTGTAGTATCACTGTAGTAGTCCTTTAGTATCACAGTAGTAGTACTGTAGTATCACTGTAGTAGTACTGTAGTATCACTGTAGTAGTACTGTAGTATCACTGTAGTAGTACTGTAGTATCACAGTAGTAGTACTGTAGTATCACTGTAGTAGTCCTGTAGTATCACTGTAGTAGTACTGTAGTATCACTGTAGTATCACAGTAGTAGTCCTGTAGCATCACTGTAGTAGTCCTGTAGTATCACAGTAGTAGTACTGTAGTATCACTGTAGTAGTCCTGTAGTATCACAGTAGTAGTACTGTAGTATCACTGTAGTAGTACTGTAGTAGTACTGTAGTATCACAGTAGTAGTACTGTAGTATCACTGTAGTAGTACTGTAGTATCACTGTAGTAGTACTGCAGTAACTGTAGTAGTACTGTAGTATCACAGTAGTCGTACTGTAGTATCACTGTAGTAGTACTTTAGTATCACTGTAGTGGTACTGTAGTAACTGTAGTAGTACTTTAGTATCACTGTAGTAGTACTGCAGTAACTGTAGTAGTACTGTAGTATCACAGTAGTCGTACTGTAGTATCACTGTAGTAGTACTTTAGTATCACTGTAGTGGTACTGTAGTAACTGTAGTAGTACTTTAGTATCACAGTAGTAGTACTGTAGTATCACAGTTTAGTCCTGTAGTATCACTGTAGTAGTACTGTAGTATCACTGTAGTATCACAGTAGTAGTCCTGTAGTATCACTGTAGTAGTCCTGTAGTATCACAGTAGTAGTACTGTAGTATCACTGTAGTAGTCCTGTAGTATCACAGTAGTAGTACTGTAGTATCACTGTAGTCGTACTGTAGTAACTTTAGTAGTACTGTAGTATCACTGTAGTAGTACTGTAGTATCACTGTAGTAGTACTGTAGTATCACTGTAGTAGTACTGTAGTATCACAGTAGTAGTACTGTAGTATCACTGTAGTAGTACTGATCAGAGAGAGAGACCAGAGAGAGAGACCAGAGAGAGAGAGAGAGACCAGTGAGAACGAGACCAGAGAGAGAGAGACCAGAGAGAGACCAGAGAGACCAGTTAGAACAAGACCAGAGAGAGACCAGTGAGAGCAGAGAGAGACCAGAGAGAGACCAGAGAGAGACCAGAGAGAGACCAGAGAGAGACCAGAGAGAGACCAGAGAAATACCAGAAAGAAACTTATCTTAGCACAAAGAAAACCACTTCCAGACAGATTTTCTTATTTACATCTGTCTGAGTTTCTGCCTCTGGACCTTCAGGAGCAGAGGAGCAGAGGGACCTCCAGGAGCAGAGGAGCAGAGGGACCTTCAGGAGCAGAGGAGCAGAGGGACCTTCAGGAGCAGAGGAGCAGAGGAGCAGAGGGACCTTCATGAGCAGAGGAGCAGATGGACCTTTAGGGGCAGAGGAGCAGAGGGACCTTCAGGAGCAGAGGAGCAGATGGACCTTCAGGAGCAGAGGAGCAGAGGGACCTTAATGAGCAGAGGAGCAGAGGGACCTTCATGAGCAGAGGAGCAGATGGACCTTCAGGAGCAGAGGAGCAGAGGGACCTTCAGGAGCAGAGGAGCAGATGGACCTTCAGGAGCAGAGGAGCAGAGGGACCTTCAGGAGCAGAGGAGCAGATGGACCTTCAGGAGCAGAGGAGCAGAGGGACCTTCAGGAGCAGAGGAGCAGAGGGACCTTCAGGAGCAGAGGAGCAGAGGGACCTTAATGAGCAGAGGAGCAGAGGGACCTTCATGAGCAGAGGAGCAGATGGACCTTCAGGAGCAGAGGAGCAGAGGGACCTTCAGGAGCAGAGGAGCAGATGGACCTTCAGGAGCAGAGGAGCAGAAGGACCTTCAGGAGCAGAGGAGCAGAGGGACCTTCAGGAGCAGAGGAGCAGAGGGACCTTCATGAGCAGAGGAGCAGAGGGACCTTCAGGAGCAGAGGAGCAGAGGGACCTTCATGAGCAGAGGAGCAGAGGGACCTTCATGAGCAGAGGAGCAGAGGGACCTTCATGAGCAGAGGAGCAGAGGGACCTTCAGGAGCAGAGGAGCAGATGATCTCTGCCACGGTGCGCCTCACTGACCACAGAGAAACCTTACAGCTGCTCAGAAGGGTTCAGAGGAAGACACGGCAGGTCACACCAGAAATAATATTTCACTCATTCACAAGAAACAGAAAAACTAAAAAAGTATGACTTAGTTCTGGAAATGTGTTTACAGTCACAGCTCCTTCTGGTGGAGACGTAGGGAGTTACATACAGCCTTTTTTACCCTCTCTTTGCTCTCTCTCCTCACTCTCTCTTATCTATCTGTCTCCCTCCTCTCTCTTTCTCTTCTCCCCCTCTCCTCTCTCTCTATTTCTTCTTCCTCTCTTTCTCTCTCTCTAATCTTTCTCAATCTCTACTCTATCTTTCTCTCACTCCTCTCTCTCTCTCCTCCCTCTTTCTCTCTCTCTCTCCCCTCCCTCTCTCTCTCTCTCTCCCCTCCCTCTCTCTCTCTCTCTCTCCTCCCTCTTTCTCTCTCTCTCCCCTCCCTCTTTCTCTCTCTCTCCCCTCCCTCTCTCTCTCTCTCTCTCTCCTCCCTCTTTCTCTCTCTCTCCCTTCGTTTCTCTCTTTTTCTTCTCCCTCTCTTTCACTTTCTCTCATCTTTCTCTCTCTCTCCTCCCTCTCTCTCCCCTCCCGCTCTCTCTCTCTCTCTCTCCTCTCTCTCTCCTCTGTCTCTCTCTCCTACGTTCTCTCCCTGAGCCGCGGTAAAGCGATTTTGCCGTGACGCTGGATTTCCTCCTTGTGTTCCTCTCTGTTGTTGTGAATGATCCCCACCTGACCACAACGAGGGCTCACGAGGTTCAGAGACCAGAGGGAGACCAGAGGGAGACCAGAGAGAGACCAGAGGGAGACCAGAGAGAGACCAGAGAGAGACCAGAGAGAGACCAGAGTGAGACCAGAGAGAGACCAGAGGGAGACCAGAGAGAGACCAGAGAGAGACCAGAGGGAGACCAGAGTGAGACCAGAGAGAGACCAGGGAGAGGGTGAAGTGCACATTAACATAAAGGTAATGATGAATAAAGTTTTAATAATGAAATTGTCATAAAGTTTTATGTCCTGTTTGTTTCAACAGTGCCTTTTTCTGTGATGTCACATACATTCTCAGACCAGGCCCGGCGTCGTCCTGGTCCTGCTCTCAGACCAGGCCCGGTGTCGTCCTGGTCCTGCTCTCAGACCAGGCCCGGTGTCGTCCTGGTCCTGCTCTCAGACCAGGCCCGGTGTCGTCCGGTGTCGTCCTGGTCCTGCTCTCAGACCACGCCCGGTGTCGTCCGGTGTCGTCCTGGTCCTGCTCTCAGACCAGGCTTGGTGTCGTCCGGTGTCGTCCTGGTCCTGCTCTCAGACCAGGCCCGGTGTCGTCCGGTGTCGTCCTGGTCCTGCTCTCAGACCAGGCCCGGTGTCGTCCGGTGTCGTCCTGGTCCTGCTCTCAGACCAGGCCCGGTGTCGTTCGGTGTCGTCCTGGTCCTGCTCTCAGACCAGGCCCGGTGTCGTCCGGTGTCGTCCTGGTCCTGCTCTCAGACCAGGCCCGGTGTCGTCCTGGTCCTGATGGTTGGTTCCTCTGTAATAATGAAAAGCAGAAGAGGATTCTGAAAAACCTTCACCTTGTTTCTGCGTCTGAATCGATTGCTGAGACAACATCTCACGGACAAAGACCACTGCTGTCTGAGACAAATCGCCACGACGACGGGCCCCTGACAACGGGCCCCTGAGGACGGGCCCTGAAAACGGGCCCTGAGGACGGGCCCCTGACAACAGTGTGGATAAGTGCCGTGAAGCGGAACACGGTGGATGCAGAATCACCTCCTCACCGCAACTTGACCGGAGGTCTCTCTCTGGTGTCTCACTGGTCCCTCTCTGGTCTCTCTCTCTGGTGTCTCACTGGTCTCTCTCTGGTCTCTCTCTGGTCTCTCTCTCTAGTCTTTTTCTGGTCTCTCTCTCTGGTCACTTGCTGGTTTCTCACTGGTCTCTCTCTGGTCTCTGTCTCTCTGGTGTCTCACTGGTCTCTCTCTGGTCTCTCTCTCTAGTCTTTTTCTAGTCTCTCTCTCTGGTTTCTCTCTGGTCTCTCTCTGGTCTCTCTCTGGTCTCTGTCTGGTGTCTCTTTCTGGTCTCTCTCTGATCTCTCTCTGGTGTCTCTCTCTGGTCTCTCTCTGGTCTCTCTCTGGTCTCTCTCTGGTCTTTCTCTGATCTCTCTCTGGTGTCTCTCGCTGGTCTCTGGTGTCCATGACATTCTAAAGTGAGGTAACCATGTGGGGCACAGTTACATAACCAGGAAACAAGGTAAAATGATGAAGTTGTTAGAGTCTGAATAAAACCATGTGCAGAGAGAAGGGCCCCAACTGTAAAGAGACCAGGGGGAGACTAGAGAGAGACCAGACGGAGACCTGAGAGAGACCAGAAAGAGACCAGAAAGAGACCAGACGGAGACCAGAGAGAGACAAGAAAGAGACCAGAGAAAGACCAGAGAGAGACCAGAGAGAGACCAGAGGGAGACCAGAGAGAGACCAGATTCAGATTCAGATTCATTTTATTGCCATTTGCAGTAACACTACATTGGAATACATTAGTAAAAGTTCCCAGTGTGCACAGGACAAGTACAGACATAAAACAACATTAAAAGACAAAAATAAAACAAATTTTAAAAACAGTAAACAAATGTCACAACAAATGTCACCGTGAAGTTGACCAACTTAAAACAGATCTATACGAGTGCAAAAAACATTAAAGTGCTCTGTTCACACTGATAACAGCTCGTGGAAAAAAACTATTAGCATAACGAGATGTCCTGCATCTCAGAGAACAGTATCTTCTGCCAGTGGGAAGAAGCTGGAACAAGGCTTTTCCTGGGTGGCCAGAAGAGTCATTGATAATTCTCAGGGCACTGTTAAAAAGTCTGGATTGATAAAGAGCCTCCAGAACAGGAAGTTCACAGCCCACGGTCCTCTTTGCAGAGCGGAGCACCTTGTTTAAAGCTCTCTTTTCTTTATCTGTGATGTTTCCAAACCACACAGACACAGAACCAACAAGTAAACTCTCAATGGGGCCGCGATAAAAGTTCAGCAGAATCTTAGAGTTAGTGGTAAATTCTCTAAGTTTCCGCAGAAAGTAGAGACGCTGACGAGCTTTCTTAACAACCCGGTCAGTGTTTTTAACCCATTTCAGGTCATTAGACAGAGTTAGACCCAGAAACTTGCTCCTCTACGATCTGCACCTGGGAGTTGTCGATTACGACAGACAAATGAGAACTATTGCGACTGAAGTCGTAGACCAGTTCACATGTTTTGGATGCGTTCAGCTGGAGGTTGTTAGCCTTACTCCACTGAACCACATTTTGGATCTCGGCTCTATAAGAGGATTCATCGTTATTACTGATGAGACCGATGATGGTGGTGTCATCAGCATATTTAAGGATCAGGTTAGAGTCTGAGGAAGACACACAATCATGAGTGTACAGTGTAAAAAGTAAAGGACTCAAAAACCCAAGGACCAGAGAGAGACCAGAAAGAGACCAGAGAGAGACCAGAGAAAGACCAGAGAGAGACCAGAGAGAGACCAGAGAGAGACCAGAGAGAGACCAGAGGGAGACCAGAGAGAGACCAGAGAGAGACCAGAGAGAGACAAGAGAGAGACCAGAGAGAGACAAGAGAGAGACCAGAGAGAGACTAGAGAAAGACCAGAGAGAGACAAGAGAGAGACCAGAGAGAGACCAGAGAAAGACCAGAGTGAGACCAGAGCGAGACCAGAGGGAGACCAGAGAGGGAGACCAGAGAGAGACCAGATAGAGAGACCAAAGAGACACCAGAGAGAGACCAGAGAGAGACCAGAGAGAGACCAGAGAGAGAGACCAGAGAGAGACCAGAGAGAGACCAGAGAGAGACCAGAGAGAGAGACCAGAGAGAGACCAGAGAGAGAGACCAGAGAGAGAGACCAGAGAGAGACCAGAGAGAGACAAGAGAGAGACCAGAGAGAGAGACCAGAGAGAGACAGAGAGAGACCAGAGAGAGACCAGAGAGACACCAGAGAGAGACCAGAGAGAGACCAGAGAGAGACCAGAGAGAGACCAGAGAGAGACCAGAGAGAGACCAGAGAGAGACCAGAGAGACCAGAGAGAGACAAGAGAGAGGGGGATGGAGACTTTTGAGTGACCTTCCATACACAGCTGTGAGTTAAAACTCTCCCTGACTTTTGTAATCTAATAATCTACTTTTAAATAACTGCAGCCCAGAGCTCTACAGCAACAAGCAATCTGATTGGGCGACACAGGAGGAGGAGACAAGGGAGATGGAGAGATAGAGACTAGAGAGACCAGAGAGAGACAAGGGAGAGAGCAGAGAGAGACCAGAGAGAGACCAGAAAGAGACCAGAGGGAGACCAGAGAGAGACCAGAGAGAGACCAGAGAGAGACAAGAGAGAGACCAGAGAGAGACAAGAGAGAGACCAGAGAGAGACTAGAGAAAGACCAGAGAGAGACAAGAGAGAGACCAGAGAGAGACCAGAGAAAGACCAGAGTGAGACCAGAGCGAGACCAGAGGGAGACCAGAGAGGGAGACCAGAGAGAGACCAGATAGAGAGACCAAAGAGACACCAGAGAGAGACCAGAGAGAGACCAGAGAGAGACCAGAGAGAGAGACCAGAGAGAGACCAGAGAGAGACCAGAGAGAGACCAGAGAGAGAGACCAGAGAGAGACCAGAGAGAGAGACCAGAGAGAGAGACCAGAGAGAGACCAGAGAGAGACAAGAGAGAGACCAGAGAGAGAGACCAGAGAGAGACAGAGAGAGACCAGAGAGAGACCAGAGAGACACCAGAGAGAGACCAGAGAGAGAGACCAGAGAGAGACCAGAGAGAGAGACCAGAGAGAGACCAGAGAGAGACCAGAGAGAGACCAGAGAGACCAGAGAGAGACAAGAGAGAGGGGGATGGAGACTTTTGAGTGACCTTCCATACACAGCTGTGAGTTAAAACTCTCCCTGACTTTTGTGATCTAATAATCTACTTTTAAATAACTGCAGCCCAGAGCTCTACAGCAACAAGCAATCTGATTGGACGACACAGGAGGAGGAGACAAGGGAGATGGAGAGATAGAGACCAGAGAGACCAGAGAGAGACCAGGGAGAGACCAGAGAGAGACCAGAGAGAGACCAGAAAGAGACCAGAGAGAGACCAGGGAGAGACCAGAGAGAGACCAGAGAGAGACCAGAGAGAGACCAGAGAGAGACCAGAGAGAGACCAGAGAGAGACCAGATAGAGAGACCAGAGAGGGACCAGAGAGAGACCAGAGAGAGACCAAAAACCAAGCACTCAGACCAGAGACCAGGACCAGTCTGGAGGTAAGGAAAAAGTACAAAACTAATTCCTTTGATCTATTTCTTGTTTGAACTGCAAATACTGCTCAGCGTCTTTTAGACTCTACGGCCCTAGAGTAGGGTAGAGTAGAGAGTAGAGTAGACTAGTGTAGAGTAGTAGAGTAGAGTAGAGTAGAGTAGAGTAGAGTAGAGTAGAGTAGAGTAGGGTAGAGTAGAGTAGAGTAGGGTAGGGTAGAGTAGAGTAGGGTAGAGTAGAGTAGGGTAGAGTAGAGTAGGGTAGAGTAGAGTAGAGTAGGGTAGAGTAGAGAAGGGTAGAGTAGGGTAGAGTAGAGTAGAGTAGGGTAGGGTAGGGTAGAGTAGAGTAGAGTAGAGTAGAGTAGAGTAGAGTAGAGTAGAGTAGGGTAGGGTAGAGTACAGTAGGGTAGGGTAGAGTAGAGTAGGGTAGGGTAGAGTAGAGTAGGGTAGGGTAGGGTAGGGTAGGGTAGAGTAGGGTAGGGTAGGGTAGAGTAGAGTAGAGTAGAGTAGGGTAGAGTAGAGTAGAGTAGAGTAGAGTAGGGTAGGGTAGGGTAGAGTAGAGTAGAGTAGGGTAGGGTAGAGTAGGGTAGAGTAGAGTAGAGTAGGGTAGAGTAGGGTAGAGTAGAGTAGGGTAGGGTAGAGTAGAGTAGGGTAGGGTAGGGTAGGGTAGGGTAGGGTAGAGTAGGGTAGGGTAGAGTAGGGTAGAGTAGGGTAGAGTAGAGTAGAGTAGGGTAGAGTAGAGTAGGGTAGGGTAGAGTAGAGTAGGGTAGGGTAGGGTAGAGTAGAGTAGGGTAGGGTAGAGTAGGGTAGGGTAGGGTAGGGTAGAGTAGGGTAGAGTAGAGTAGAGTAGGGTAGAGTAGGGTAGAGTAGAGTAGAGTAGAGTAGGGTAGAGTAGAGTAGAGTAGGGTAGAGTAGAGTAGAGTACAGTAGAGTAGAGTAGAGTAGGGTAGGGTAGATTAGAGTAGGGCAGGGTAGGGTAGAGTAGAGTAGAGTAGTGTAGGGTAGAGTAGAGTAGAGTAGGGTAGAGTAGAGTAGAGTAGAGTAGAGTAGAGTAAAGTAGGGTAGAGTAGGGTAGGGTAGAGTAGAGTAGAGTAGAGTAGAGTAGAGTAGAGTAAAGTAGAGTAGAGTAGAGTAGAGTAGAGTAGGGTAGAGTAGTTATGAAAATCTCCGCTGTGCTTGAGACAGATATTATGTCAGTAACAGCTCAAGGTCCGACATTAACACACTGTACCGACTTTTACGACCAGCTGCGACGGACCAGAGCACAGACTTTGTACATGGTTTAGAGCCGTACAGAACCTGTGCGTTACCCATAATGCACCTCACGTTCAGGGGGGGGTCAAGGGGTGTAGTAAAGCCACAGTCTGTAAAACCTGCAGCTGTAGAAGTGCGTGAGTCCTGAGGAGGAAGCAGGAGCAGTTCAAACTCATTCATTCTGAAACTATAGAAGCGGTCGCCACCTGCTGGACGTGTGTATAACTGCACCCAGTGAGAAGCCTGGTCCCATTCAGACCTAAAACATCTACAACAAACTTAAAGGTACAGATCAGTTTGGGCTTCGTTTTAGGTTGGATTTAAACCAGGACTGAGGCTTTAGAGAGAGACCAGAGAGAGACCAGGGCGAGACCAAAGAGAGACCAGAGAGAGACTAGAGAGAGACCAGAGAGAGACCAGAGAGAGACCAGAGAGAGACCAGAGAGAGACCAAAGAGAGACCAGAGAGAGACCAGAGAGAGAGACCAGAGAGAGACCAGGGAGAGACCAAAGAGAGACCAAAGAGAGACCAGAGAGAGACCAAAGAGAGAGACCAGAGAGAGACCAGAGAGAGAGACCAGAGAGAGACCAGAGAGAGACCAAAGAGAGACCAGAGAGAGACCAGAGAGAGACCAGGGAGAGACCAGGGAGAGACCAGGGAGAGACCAAAGAGAGACCAGAGAGAGACCAGAGAGAGACCAGAGAGAGAGACCAGGGAGAGACATACCAGAAACAGTTTCAGACTCTAAAACGCACAAAACATTTCACCCACTTAACTTGTTGATTTTTTAAAGACAAATAACCTTGCTCATGTTTCCCTCAGACAGACCCAGGCCTGGTGTGTTGCTGGTGTGTTGCTGGTGTGTTGCTGGTGTGTTGCTGGTGTGGTGTGGTTCCCAACATGAGGTTCGAGGAGGTGCTTGAGGAGGTGGGCGGCTTCCATCGGTTCCAGGTCCTGGTTCTGTCCACGCTCTGCCTCCCGCGCTTCATCCTGGCGCTCCACTTCCTGCTTCATAACTTCATCTCTGCTGTTCCTGGTCACCACTGCGCCCCCTCTGAGACCGGACCGGGACTAGACCTGAGTCTGGACCAGGACTACGGAGAGTCCCAGGGGTCCTGCTGGGTCCAGGGTCCCAACGGATCCAGTCAGACCTGTCCCAATGGATGGATTTACAACCAGAGCGACTTTAGCTCCACCACCGCAACAGAGGTAAGAGAGAGACCAGAGGGAGACCAGAGAGAGAGGCCAGAGAGAGACCAGAGAGAGACCAACAAGAGGCCAGAGAGAGACCAGAGAGAGAGAGCAGAAAGAGACCAGAGAGAGAGCAGAAAGAGACCAGAGAGAGACCAGAGAGAGAGACCAGAGAGAGACCAGAGAGAGGCCAGCAAGAGGCCAGAGAGAGACCAGAGAGAGACCAGAGAAAGACCAGGGAGAGACCAGAGAGAGAGACCAGGGAGAGAATAGAGAGAGAGACCAGAGAGAGAGACGAGAGAGAGAGACCAGAGAGAGACCAGGGAGAGACCAGAGAGAGAGACCAGAGAGAGAGACCAGAGAGAGACCAGAGAGAGACCAGAGAGAGACCAGAGAGAGAGACCAGAGAGAGAGACAGAGAGAGACCAGAGAGAGAGAGAAAGAGAGACCAGAGAGAGACCAGAGAGAGAGCAGAGAGAGACCAGAGAGAGACCAGAGAGAGAGACCAGCGAGAGAGACCAGCGAGAGAGACCAGAGAGAGACCAGAGAGAGATCAGAGAGAGACCAGAGAGAGACCAGAGAGAGACCAGAGAGAGACCAGAGAGAGAGACCAGCGAGAGAGACCAGAGAGAGACCAGAGATTGACCAGAAGCAAACCTTTTTAGAGCCTGTCACTAGTGACATCTCATCACATATAGTTTTATTGTTATGTTTGAAAGTTACATAACAATATCACATGTGGGCGGCACGGTGGCTGAGTGGATAGCACTCTTGCCTCTCAGCAACTAGGTCTTGAGTTCGAATCCCGGTCGGAACAGGGTCTTTCTGAGTGGAGTTTGCATGTTCTCCCTGTGCCTGCGTAGGTTTCCTCCGAGTACTCCGGTTTCACTAGGTTAAATCCTCCAGCTCTGGTCCTGACCAAGCCGAGCATCAACATCTGGAGATGGGTTCCCGGGCTCTGTTACTACGACAACCAACTGCTCCTGACGTAAGCCTTAGGGCATCAGGGTCAAACGCAGAGGATTGAAATTCCCTACAGGGATTTAAAGTGCACCTTTGCATATTGTCTGGCCCCACATGTGTTGAAGTACAAGTGTGAAACACACACAGACACACACACGCAGGTTTCTTTGTGGTTGTGTGGCGTGTGCGATACAGATAATCTGTCCTTCCCCCTCCCTCAGTGGGACCTGGTGTGTGAGGACCGCCGTCTCAACCAGCTCTTGGCCACGTACTTCTTCCTCGGCGTCACGGTGGGAGCGGTGGTGTTCGGACAACTGTCAGACAGGTAAACGAACAAACTGAGAGGAAGGCAGGTTGTTTGGACCCGTGTCACCCTTTCATCACAAGGAGGAGAGACAGAGAGCAGAAAGAGCAGAGAGAGAGCGGAGAGAGACCAGAGAGAGACCAGAGAGAGACCAGAGAGAGAGACCAGAGAGAGAGACCAGTGAGAGACCAGAGAGAGACCACAGAGAGACCAGAGAGAGACCAGAGAGAGACCAGAGAGAGACCAGAGAGAGACCAGAGAGAGAGACCGGAGAGAGACCGTAGAGAGAGCGGAGAGAGACCAGAGAGAGAGACGAGAGAGAGACGAGAGAGAGGCCAGAGAGAGACCAGAGAGAGAGACCAGAGAGAGACCGGAGAGAGACCAGCGAGAGACCAGAGAGAGACAGGAGAGAGACAGGAGAGAGACCGGAGAGAGACCAGAGAGAGAGAGACGAGAGAGAGACGAGAGAGAGGCCAGAGAGGCCAGAGAGAGACCAGAGAGAGAGACGAGAGAGAGACGAGAGAGAGGCCAGAGAGGCCAGAGAGAGACCAGAGAGAGAGACCAGAGAGAGACCGGAGAGAGACCAGAGAGAGAGACCAGAGAGAGAGACCAGAGAGAGACCGTAGAGAGACCAGAGAGAGAGACCAGAGAGAGAGACCGGAGAGAGACCAGAGAGAGAGACCAGAGAAAGAGACCGGAGAGAGACCGTAGAGAGACCAGAGAGAGAGACCAGAGAGAGAGACCGGAGAGAGACCAGAGAGAGAGACCAGAGAGAGACCAGAGAGAGAGACCAGAGAGAGACCAGAGAGTGACCAGAGAGAGAGACCACAGAGAGACCAGAGAGAGACCAGAGAGAGACCAGAGAGAGACCAGAGAGAGAGACCAGAGAGAGACCAGAGAGAGACCAGAGAGAGACCAGAGAGAGAGACCAGAGAGAGACCAGAGAGAGACCAGAGAGAGAGACCAGAGAGAGACCAGAGAGAGACCAGAGAGAGACCAGAGAGAGACCAGAGAGAGACCAGAGAGAGACCAGAGAGAGAGACCAGAGAGAGACCAGAGAGAGAGAGAGACCAGAGAGAGAGAACAGAGAGAGACCAGAGAGAGAGACGAGAGAGAGACCAGAGAGAGACCAGAGAGAGACCAGAGAGAGACCAGAGAGAGACCAGAGAGAGACCAGAGAGAGACCAGAGAGAGACAGGAGAGAGACCAGAGAGAGACCAGAGAGAGAGAGACGAGAGAGAGACGAGAGAGAGGCCAGAGAGGCCAGAGAGAGACCAGAGAGAGAGACGAGAGAGAGACGAGAGAGAGGCCAGAGAGGCCAGAGAGAGACCAGAGAGAGAGACCAGAGAGAGACCGGAGAGAGACCAGAGAGAGAGACCAGAGAGAGACATGAGAGAGACCGGAGAGAGACCAGAGAGAGAGACCAGAGAGAGAGACCGGAGAGAGACCGTAGAGAGACCAGAGAGAGAGACCAGAGAGAGAGACCGGAGAGAGACCAGAGAGAGACTAGAGAGAGACCAGAGAGAGAGACCAGAGAGAGACCAGAGAGTGACCAGAGAGAGACCAGAGAGAGAGACCAGAGAGAGACCAGAGAGAGACCAGAGAGTGACCAGAGAGAGACCAGAGAGAGAGACCAGAGAGAGAGACCGGAGAGAGACCAGAGAGAGACCAGAGAGTGACCAGAGAGAGACACCAGAGAGAGAGACCAGAGAGAGAGACCAGAGAGAGACCAGAGAGAGACCAGAGAGAGAGACCAGAGAGAGACATTTTCAAACACATAATTTTATAGAACTTTATGAAAGACAGAGCGGTGTGTGACAGTGAGAGCGTAATTCACGCAGACACAGCTCCACGGCTCGTTACGCAGATTTGTCTCTGATGAGTGAGCCGTGGGTGAGCCGTGGGGGAGCCGTGGGGGAGCTGTGGGGGAGCTGTGGGGGAGCTGTGGGGGAGCCGTGGTGGAGCCGTGGGGAGGCTGTGGGGGAGCTGTGGGGGAGCCGTGGGGAGGCTGTGGGGGAGCTGTGGGGGAGCCGTGGTGGAGCCGTGGGGGAGCTGTGGGGGAGCCGTGGTGGAGCCGTGGGGGAGCTGTGGGGGAGCTGTGGGGGAGCTGTGGGGGAGCTGTGGGGGAGCTGTGGGGGAGCCGTGTTGGAGCTGTGGGGGAGCCGTGGCGGAGCCGTGGGGGAGCTGTGGGGGAGCTGTGGGGAGCTGTGGGGGAGCCGTGGTGGAGCTGTGGGGGAGCCGTGGGGGAGCCGTGGGGGAGCCGTGGGGGAGCCGTGGGTAGCTGACGGCTGACTCTTTGAACATTTACAGTTGCCTCCTGACCACTGCTGACCTCAGCCTCATGTGACTCTGATAACACTCCACCAATGTCACGGGAATTATGGGCCATCCAACGCCGCTTTCATGCCCTGTTAGTCCTGGTTTAGTCCTGGTTTAGTCCTGCTTAATACCTGCTTAGGACCTGCTTTAGTCCTGCTTGAGTCCTGCTTTAGACCTGTTTTAGTCCTGCTTTAGTCCTGCTTTAGTCCTGCTTAATACCTGCTTAGGACTTGCTTTAGTCCTGCTTTAGTCCTGCTTGAGTCCTGCTTTAGACCTGCTTTAG